TTTCAGTCATCTCACTTTATTAACATCAAAAACTTTAATAACATTAGAATGTTGTTATTAAATGTTAAAGTCAACATTAACAAGCAAATTCATCCAGTGTTATGAACATAGGTGTTGTGAACCATGCATGTAAGAACACACACATGACATTTATGTAACTATTCAGTGTTAAGATACTCATTTACATTTAGTAGATGCTCTTATCCAGAGCGACTTCCATTTACTAAATTCACTGCCTGAAGCAAGTGAGTATTAAGGGTCTTGCTCAAAGACCCAGTGATGGTAGTGCCAGACGTGGGACTTGAACCCATGACCTCTTGGTCCAGAGGTGAGCATCCTAACCACTAGACCACCAACCATATAAAAACATCTCCATACCTTCCGAGATCCATGGTGTGGATAGTGCTTTAGTGTCACTGCAATTGAATTATCCATGGTGAGGTTGATTGCTTCAGGATGAGCTTTACTGTATGCAGCTACAGTATTTGCAAGAGACACACACACACACACACACACACTCTTCATCTGTGTTAATGTTTAAACAATGTAATCAATCAGTATGAGAAGAATTCAAACATTTCTTTGTCATACTCATATTCATTTAATGAAGATAGATCATTTGGTTGCATCACAATCACTGATTTTATGTTAGTAAGTTACTTATTTAATGGAGTAATGCAACCCAATTTCAGCCGCCGTTCTCTGAGTATGTCGCACGGGTAATAAGTAGCCAAAGTTATGCTGTACTCTCGAATCCATCCGTAATTGTTGAGGTATTGGAGAGAAGCGGGGTTTATATATTAATTGCTTAATTTTGGGGGGATCAGCTGCAGTGTGTAAACTAATTTTTAAGCTAGAGGTCCAAGATGCATTTATGTACATTTTATTTACATCCACACATCCATCAATCTCGATCCCCACTGCTTATCCTGATCGGGGTTGCAAGGCTTTATGATAATTACAGCCGTAATTGCTGTAACACTATAATTATTTATATCGCATGATTTTATGCTGAAATATTTCTACAGCTTTTGTAATTTCGCATTAACTGCAGTTGAACCCTATGAGTAAAGACAGTTGAAAAGAGAAAGCAGATACGGTGCATCAGTTAAATGAGTTTTTCCTTATAGATGTCCAAATTTCCAGTTGCCTACTGAGCTTTTTAAATTGGTATTTTAAGCGAAAATATTAGCACCAGTTGATCCGTCGGTTTGGGTTACTCGTAATATCAGTATTGTACCAGCAGATGATTAACTCACTGCTGGTACAATATCGATATTACGAATATCACATTTTCCGTAAAATGTGGTTTCTCGCAGTTGCCGTACAGAATCGTGGGACAAATTCGGTCCTCCGGAACGCCACCGAACGCCATGTAAACGCAATAGCGTCATTTTCCTCGCGTTTGTCGGGATTTTGACGCCAAGAAAACGTTGCATGCAGCGTTTATTTGACACCACCTGAACGCGTAGCTGGCCGAACGCCGGTGCTGAACGCCCTTGTGGTCGCTTTGATTTGCTCCAATGAGCAGAAAAACAGTCGGCGTTCATTCGGTGCTCACCTTTCGCCACGAACGCCAGAAAAACGCCTGGTACAGACGTCCGTGTGAACGAGGCCTTACTGTGGAATGGCCTCCTTTTCCACAGGAACAGCAATTTTCTCATAACTCCTAGACAACACTGATGCATGTAGTCAACAGGAAAACATCTGATGATGTCAATTGGAAGATTACAGAAAGGGGAAATCTTTTCCTCTTCTTGATGTTCTGCATACTTTTGTTCTCTGAAAGTCAGATCAATTAGCAGTGTCAGATTTGTCATCTTCTGATAAGTCATTCTACCAAGCCATCTTCCCCTTTGTGTACATCTATCACAGCCATAATAACCAGAGTACTGCTTTACACATTTCACCATGGCACAAATAATGCACCTAATGTGTACTGCTAGATTTCTCTCTTCCAACTCGATTCCAGTTTCTAATAAATTAGCCAGATCACGAACCGTATCACTAATGAAGTCCATAGATGTAGGTTTTGATGAAGCTACTGCAAGCGATAATGGAAAGACAGACACTGGGTCAAGATCAATATAGAGCACAAAACTGGCCAGAGTGCTCGGTTGTTGCTTTTAGACAGTGGTAGCCCATCCACATTTAAAGAAATTTCCAAAGCATTCAAGGACTTTAGCATGGCTAAAGTCCTTGAATGCTTAGACTGTAAAGTTTGACATGTTATTATTATGCAGCTTGGTCTAATATTTGAAATGGACGTGTTGGGGAAAATCAGTATTTCAAAGGGCAGCTCTAACTTTCGTTAGATTTTAATGCCGCCGTCGGCAAGAGGCTGGGGAAAACTCGGCAAAACCACCGCATATGCGCGTGACGCACCTGTAGCTCTGCCGAAATTGCCCTGCAGGTAGGCTATATAAAACCTTTTCTGGAACGAAAAGGAATGCCGCAGTCATCTTCAGCAGACGCTGCCATTAAAAGCGACGCATAATTTCCACCCGGTTATACAGCTAGATATTTTCTAGGTTTATCTTTATTGCGTCTTGTAGGCTATTTTACTGGTTATATGCCAAACTGCAATGGTTTGGCGCCCCATCCTGGGGTTTCCCTGTCTTGCATCCGTGGCTTCCCGTCCGAAGCTGAAATACATTTCCTTGCACTAGGGCTTCTCCTGGTATCTGTATGATAGCTAAAAACGTTGAGAAGTAGAGCTGAAGACTCCTTTCAAAGAATTTTTGGCATGAACCTCTTGGCAGAAGATCAAGGAAGTGGCCTAATGCAGACATGATCGTTACTGTTAGTAGGGATTTTTCTGGGAAAGTATAGGAACCAAAAATAAGTCACTTCCGACGGAAAAATACGATGTTGGGTAATTTCAGAACACATAAATCATCTTAATTGTCTGTGTGTGTGTGTGTGTGTGTGTGTGTGTGTGTGTGTGTGTATGTATACATCAGATATATATATCAGAATCATAAAACTTTTAATCCCGAAGGAAACTGCTTACAGTACGACTGCACAACGCACAAGAACAATACAATGAACTACTAAAGATTAGTGCAGCTAAATTAAATTAAAGCACTCTAATAAAAATTCTATAAAGTGTAGAATAAAATACTATGTTACCTCGTACATAAGTGACTCTGTAAAAAGTTATTATAAATGTATGTGTAAAAATATATATATATATATATATATACACAGGGGAGTCGCTAGAGATTTTGGGCCCCATGAAAGCATATCATATTAGGCCCCCCAGTCCAAACCAATCCAGTTATTTTCCTAATTTTTTAGTGGAATCGTCCTAGCTTTCCTCCCCCTTACGGCGCCCCTGTATATACATACACACACACATACACACACACATATATATATATATATACAGGGGCGTCAGAAGCATTTTGAATGTGGGGGGGATACATTGGCATAAAACTAATATTTTATGTTAAATATGAGGGGGTCCAAACGAATAATTATGAAATGTGAGCGGGGTGGTGTGTGTGCGTGATTGGAGCAGGGATGTGGAAGATTTTCCCAACAGTCTTTCGGTTTTCATAGGATATAAAAAGTTTGCCGTTCAGTTGTCTGAGACAAAGCAGGCGTTCCTAATCAGAATGCGTTTTGCTATAGAATAGGATAAAACAACTAAAACTGATCTGCCCTTCAAGCTAGGCTCCCTGTGATTGACTGGTATCCCAACCCATCGTTTTACCCCAGCTTTGTGTCCTACGCTGCGTGGGCTTGACTCCAGACCCTTCTAACCACCAACTACCCCCCTGGGATCCTGACCAGCACTAATAATAATCATCCTATATCATCAAAAACAGAGGTTTTACAGGTCAGATGCTATGGCGTGATCGCTATACTAAGTGGCTCCATGGAGACCAAAATTAGCTGTCAACGTTCTCCATAAAAGATGGGGCAGTTTGGAAAATATAGCGGAACAGTGTTGCGCTACTGTGATGAATCTTCCTAACAGTATATTCTCCATCTATTCTTTGGACTTCGGTTTTTGTTTTAGTTGAAATTATTCAGTTCAGTATAATTGTCTTGTCACGAAGCGGGGAAGCAGCACAGGAGCGGGGGAAATCGGGTGAACACAGGCGAAGATAGGCTTAGCCAAACTGCGACGAGAATCAAAGACGAAAGAACAGAAGAAATACATTGGGAAAGAGAACTGGTCGGGCATCTAGTGTTTTTGTGACGGGAAATGACCAACGCAGACATCCCACCGACTTCCGCAAACTGACAGCGGCTCCCTGACACCCGCCAATGATGCGCGCAATGTCCCATAAATCTGTCGTTCCGCTACTCAGCGGGGGTAAAAGAACCACTGGAACTGATAACCTTGGTTTGAACATTGGGGGTGGGGTTGAGGTCTCCACCCATTTAGGGAGAGACACGATTATTGTGAGGGAGGGGGGTTTGATTATCGAGGGGGCACAACCCAATAATTTACGCCCATGGTATTATCATAATACCAGCCAAGCAATGGCCAGCACCCCGCTCTCCAGGATGCTCCTCGTCTGCCTCCCTGAAATCAAGATCCCTAAGGTGGGATGTCTGCCAACGAAAAAAGAGCCCGATCTTATCTAAATGGTTTTAAGACAGATGAGTAATGAATCGGGGCTTGTCATCACAGACCTTCCCGAGGTGTCAGCTAGGGCCGAGGAGGCACTAATTTGCACTAATCGTCTGTTATGAAGAGGGACAGTCGGTAAAATATACCGATGGGGGGTCCCTGTTAGTAAATTTAGTGTGAAACCCGCCGTGAACCCGCAACTGTACCGTTACAGGCATAAATGACGAGTCAGCTTCTGGTTAGTCCCCGATTAACGCAGCGAAAATAAACGCGAACTCGTTTTCGCTTACTTCTTTTTCCTGGAATGGCTTACTACATATGGCTTTATATGTGATTTGAGAATGTGAAACTGAAAGTTTTAGATTAAACGCTTTAGTATTGCTTTTGATTTGCTTATGAGATTTTTTAAAAAAGATAAACGTACGGTCGTTTTTTTCTGTTACTTATCTGCAAAACTGCATAGTAAATGTCAAACATAACTGAATTATTATGCAGCCGTACTGGAACAGTTTTATTTGTTAGAGATAACGTGATTTCTGGTTTAACCTTACATTGTCGATATATATATAAAAATAAACCGAATATGTAATCTGAAACCCTCAGCTCACCCCTGCATCACTTTACCCGACGAACGGTCATAAGGTGGCTGGATGGGTTTCGAGTTCTAAATCAACAATCAAGCCTCAAGATAGGATGTATTTCCTAAGTTCAGGAATTTATTGAAAGAGGAAGTGCTTGCGTGCCGCCGACTGCGTGTCATTATTGTTATTATTTAACCCGAGTGCAAGTAGTCAGACAGCAGCACCGGCTGGCGCCCGATGAGGTACAGTAGCGCACTCACCTTCGCGATGCGTAACACCACAGCAGGGAGTAGTGTACATGTGGGACAGTCATTGTTTCATATAGGCCTACCATCTAACGCTTTTAAAAACAATTTGTTGAATACTAGCCATTCTTTTGAATGGGAGGCATCATGCCGCGTATTCTTCATGTAATTCCTGTAGGGGCGAATTGTTGTAATGGATATTTTAATAAGGCTTCTGTTCTGCCATTAAAGCTTTAGTTACAAACTGAGTGCCACGATTGACAGTTTGAGATGGAATCCTATGAATACTGCTTTTGAAGCTTTTTTCGGTTTTTATATTCACAATATAATTTAAAACAGACATATAGCCTTTTAACTTGTTCCTTTATATTGAAATTTCGGTCACACTTTACTTGAGGGTACACAAATAATATAGCAATATACTTATCATTTATATATTAATTAACCACAAACTAAGTGTTAGTTACAAACTGATGTCATGTTGTTCCTCATTAATGAATCATGATGCAACTTTCATCCCAATTACCGTATTTGTTACTATATCTGTTAATTCTGTAAATCTTAGTTAGCTACTGAAGAAACCACTGAAGAAAGTACTGTAGGAACTATTGAAGGTAAAAGCAATGAGTAACATGTGAAATACTGATCTCCTGTTTGTGCATCATTAATGAATCGTGACACATCTCATTCTAAGTAGGGACTGTTCTTGTTCATGATTTGTTCTTCAGTAGTAACTGAGTCACTACTAAGTATTTATGTACTCAGTGTTACCGAAATTTCATATTAGCCTGGGACAAATCAACTGAAATGTAACATTACAATTTATAATTATTATTTTGGAATTAGAAGTTCCTGCAGGAGCCCTGACGGTGTAGTGATGGTCACAAATATAGCGGGTAAGGAGGTGGTGCATCTACCCACAACGTTGTGAAAGTGTTACATTGCATTACATGTGAATGGGGTTGGTTTGTTTAAAATGCAAGGTACCTCTCCAATCTCTTTTTAAACTTCCTGTGTTCTAATGATTATTATTTAGTGCTTTAGCTAATTGTTTCGCTACATTAACAAAATGTTATGTTATGATTTAGGTGGTGTGCATTTTTAATATTTCAAGTAAAGGAAAATTTCATATTGTTTGTTTTTTATTGTTACATTGCACATTTAATTAGAATTCTCAGTATTTAATTCTTTAACAACTCAAGTAATGTTTAATATTTAAACATTTTTTTTCCTAGGTGAAATTAACATGGCCCGTCTCTTGTTATTACAAGTGGTCTTGTTGCCAAGTGTTCTTGGTATGATATGATATTGGTTTATTCTTTTGCTATAATACTGCTTCTGTAATATATAGCATTATAGGAACTCAAGAGTAAAATATGTAATCTCTCCACTTTTCGATAGAACAGCAAATGCTGCATCATTATTCTTAAATATTACGATGTGTACTGCTTTGCATTCTTTAGTGCAGTGTTTCCCAGTCTGGTCCTCGGGGACCTGCAGACAGTCCAAGTTTTTGCTCCCTCCCAGCGCCCATAGAAGGCTGTCTAGCAGGGAGCTGGGAGGGAGCAAAAACCTGGACTGTCTGTGGGTCCCTGAGGACCGGATTAGGAAACACTGCTTTAGAGTGTGAGTGGACACAGGTAACATTACTAACATTGCTGACTGAAGCATACTGTCCTCTTAGGTCTCTTCACGGTGGAAGTGGCTAGTCCATCCTACCAGGCAGAATTTGATGATTCTGTCAGTTTGGAGTGCAGATTCGCGCCGGTGGACAGCACCTCTAATCTGTCTGTATTCTGGCACCGCATCCTTCCGAAGCCCCCACTGGGCGTCTACAGCTTACAGAATGGACAGGAGGACCTCAGCTTCCCGGACCCACACTTCAGTGGCAGAGTAGAACTCCCGAAAGATAGCTTAAGTAGCGGAAAAGCTCTGCTTAATATCAACAAACTGAGGATAAATGACTCTGGGACATACCAGTGTCTTGTGGAGATGGTAGGTGCTGACTACAAGCAGACAACCCTCACTGTAAAAGGTGAGTCGTGAGGCCAAATATAGTGAAGTACGTCAAAATCAGCTTAATTTTGCCAGGAATTTGTTCTGATGTCATACATATGTCATACATATGTCATCTATTAATATTTAAACACAGCTATTTGGCTGAGAACTGCAGGTGTAGTTATCTGCATTTTAAGCATTGCTCCTAATGATATTAGAATAAGAATCAAGTTTATTGGCCTAGTTTGCTCACACATACAAGGACTTAAGTAGTTATACTCTCTTGTGGAGAAATTACAGACAATCATTTACAAGCACACGATAAGTTACTGTGCTACCACAAAACAATACTCATATACTGGAGTATATAAAAAACACGGAACAGATATTTTCTGGACAATGAATTTACAGGACAGTAAAATGATGTGCTGAGATATGTACAATAAATACCATTTTATACAGAAGTTAAGTTAAAGTGACTGCTGTAGGCAGTTAGCTGTTCCTGAGCATGACGGTGAGTCACTAGACACTGTTCATGTGTCGGCATGTTTTGGCATGTAGTGATCATGCAGCACCAAACACACCGGAGCAATTGGCAGAATTTGTAGCCGGGGTCTGAGGGGTCAGCAATGATTTTTCCAGCCCGTTTTCTGACTTGAGAGGCATGCAGGTCCTGGACGTGGGCAGAGGGGAGCCAGTGACTTTTTTCTGCAGTCCTGATTGTCCTCTGTAGCCTGTGCTTGTCACATAGGGTAGCCGATCCTAACCAGACCGTGATAGACGTGCAAAGAACAGACGCAATGGATGCTGTGTAGAAGTGTATCAACAAACATGCGTTTTCATTTTATGTCACTTTGTAGCCACGTATCAATCAGTTAAGAAGAGCATAAGAAGTACTGGGGGAGATGAGGTGGAGTTGTCCTGCCAAGCAGAAGGCTACCCACTAGCCAAAGTTGTTTGGACAGACGGGAGAGGCAGAAAACTTGAGAATGACAATTTCACCAATTTCACATCTTCAGACCAGCTCATCCACATCACCAGCCAAGTCACCATAAAAACCTTCAGCAACAACTACACATGTACCGTCATGGGGGAAAGACAGCCACATCCATTCGCCACATTTACCATTCCAGGTATGGTTATGTTTCTTTATGATTATGGCCGTGGTGAGCGCTGATGAGTTATTCAGTTATAATAACCCACACTTGTCAGGGTAATCTAAAACCTATCCTAAGTAGCATGGGGCAGAAGGCTGTGCTGCGTCCTGTATGGGTTGCCAGGTTTTCAGAGGACACACGCACACCTGTAAGCGTATCTTTGTGGGGACCGCTCATTCATTTCTATGGGAAACATGCTAATGCTATCTATGACAACCTTAACGCCAACTCAGCCCTAACATAAGTGTCTATGTCCTTGTGAGAACTCTCCATTCATTTCTATGGGCATAACCCTAACCCCAACTATGACAACTTTATCCCCAAATATAATACAAGGCTTTTGGTATTTTTAGGTTTTTGATAGCATTTGCAGATTTTTATAAAATTTAATTTCCTTTCATGGGGACCAAAAATGTTCCCACAATGTCAAAATGGCAGATTTTCATTACATTATAAGGACATTTAGTCCCCATGATGTCATATATACATGATTACACACACACACAAAGTGGAGGCAGGGTTCAAGCCCTTGACCCTGAAGTATGAGACGACGGTGCCACCCTGAGTATTGCATCATATCTGCATCATGTGATGTCATAACTGAGACACACTGAGGGCAGCCTTAATGTGAATGAGCTCAGTTGGTTGCACTGTTGCCTCACACTTCCAGGTGTGCAGGTTTTGCATCTCGCCTGCACTCTGTCCCTGAGTTTGCACATAGCACCATTTCCCTGCCACAGTCCTGAGACATGCGTTTAGGCTTTTTGAAATCATTAAATTTCCCATAGTTTGTGTGTGTATGTGCACTATTATTGACTGGAATTACATCCAGGGTGTAACCCAGCATAAACCAAGCCCAATGCTGCCTGGGGTAGGGACCAGATTAATGATGGATGGATGTTACCTTCAAATGTCATTTGTGGATTGGCTGATTCTGTGTAATTTTGTCGTTGCTTGATGGACAATTTCATGAAGATTCAAGTTGGTTGATTGTCATTTTGAAAACATGGGATGAAAGGGAACGAAATTAAGCACCGAGGTCCCGTGAAACAACACTATGAAAACAGACATTCACTCCAATAAAAACATACAATAAATAAAAAACCCTAAATAATGTAAATAAAGGTACAGATGAGTATTAAGAAAAGTGCAATAGTGTTACGATATGTGTATAAATATTCATTGTTATTGCACAGAAAAAAATCTCTAGTGTATAGCAGGGTTTGTGAGTCTTATCTCAGTGGAAAACTGCTCTCTCTCCATGATAATAGGTGCTGCTCAGACATTTCCCCTTGTGTTTGGTAAAAACTTGGGTTCTTTCCCTGTTTTCCTTGTATCATATAGCTTGTGGTTTTGTTATCAGAGTTATTGTCTAATTGTTGGACTCACAGTCATATGCCACAGTTTAGGTCGATTCAGTACTGAAACTCTAAAACTGCAGGAAGTACTGAAATCAAATAAAATCATACATTTCTTATTTACAATTTGAATCTGGCTAAATGTTTACCCAGGCCTACCACTACACGTGGAGACATGTTTGGTGCAAATTAATTCAGTTTAGAGAAGTGAACCGTGTTAGGAATGTTTGGCGTATAACAAGGTTATTTCCATCTCATGTCTGCATCCTTAAACGGTTTTTACTGAGTAATGACCAGAAGATTATTCTTAGTTGCATGAGAACAATATCAAACTGAATATTTAGTTTAGTTATTAATAAGACTCTAAATGCAATGTACTTAGAGCACGAAAGTAGTACAAATGATTAAAGTGTAGTTTTAAAAATGCCATCATAGTTAAAAGATATTGTTGTTACTAAAATATAATCTAGAAATTATGTAAATATAACCTTATAACCTAAAGCTCTGACTTCCTATCATCCACCTTAACTACATGAAAATATGTTGGTATATACTGTATATTGGTACATACAGTGGGCTAAGCCTGTGTGGTCTGTGATCAGAAGATCACCAGTTCGAACCCAGCTTCAGCATGTCTGCAGGTCCTTGACAAATGACATATCAAAGGAACATCCATCCATCATTAATCTGGTCCCTACCCCAGGCAGGTTATTACATACACCTGGTAGTGTACATGTTTTATAATTCACTATACTCAGCATTATTAATATGATCATTATTATTATTATTATTATTATTATTATTATTATTACATACACCTGGTAATGTACATGTTTTATAATTCACTATACTCTGTATTATTATTATTCTATTCATATAACCTCAGGATGTTCACTTTATATAATTTCTCTATAGATACAGATATATTTAAAATTAATTTATAAACAAACTTCATTTCCTTTATTGCCAATGTCTAGTTAATGATTGACAACTATAAATACATTTAAGAAGTTTTAATGATTTTTTCCCCCTCATTATATAACCTTTAATTAGGAATGCCTTAATGTAAACTTTAATAACCTGTCTTTTCTTCACAGAGGAAATACCTGGAACTTATTCAGGAAAACCCCCTATTGGTCTTGTGTTTCTGGCAGTCTTTGTTGTGACTGTGGTAACGGCTGTAGCCTTGCTCTTATATCACAGACAGAAAGGTAATGTCGTCGTCGTCTTCATCCCCTTAAGAGTCCCTGTTCCTGTGTGTTCACTTTGCACTTTTAACTTGATTGAGAACTGAAAGTCTGACATTTGATAAGGGACGTAAAGCAGCCGTCTGTACTGAATTATTTAATTGTTTTAACACTGGCAGTCATTGTCATTAAAAAGAGAAAGCTGGCTGGGTTTAAGTGTGACTCCCGGGGATGTCTGTCACCCACAGAGACTGTTTCATTTCCATGAGGGAGCATAAGACGAAGTTGTATTTTTGTTAGGAATTCATCATTATTCACATAAGACTTTTCCTGAACAGCATGAATCAGCAAAATCTGACTGTCATACATTGGGATAAACGCCCCTATATTCATCAAAGGAAATGAAAATAATCTTGGAGATAACGTGGGTGTTTTTGAGGTTGAATGGTGGTTAAACAGGGAGCTGTCCTTTCCCGCGGCTCAGTGGCAGAGTGTGTGTGAATGCAGCCACGCACTCGGGTATTGGTCATGTGCATGCATATGTTCTCGCGGTGGATTTCCCCCACAACCTCCAGTAGCGTGTGAATGAATGTATACCTGCGCTGTGTCCTGTGTCTTGGTAGTTTTGCATACCCGGGTTCATACATTATTCAAAAGGTTCCTAGTGGAATAATTATTTTTATCTAGGCATCTAAGTGTCTGAGCCGTCCATGTGTTTGAATTGAGAAATTAATTCCATTAACAATTCTGGCCTGTTAGCTAAAATATCTTCATTTTCTTTCTTAGGCCACAAACGACACAATGCTTTGAGGAACAATGAGTATCTAATTCAAGAAAACATCGCTGCTGCACGTGAGTATCAATTTTTCCCAAAGCTATGGAAACACCAAGCTGTAAATGGGACTTACATTTTCCCTGTGAGAAAAATTACTGGTTTCATTCTGCAGTTTTTTTTTCTTTCCAGCCACCAGTATTTTTTCCTAACACAACAGAAACTGCTACAATACCTCTTATCGTAAATGCTGCTCACTGTGTTTGATAAACATATACATGTATAGAACTGCATTCATTACCAAACTGGGAGGAGAAGGTAACCAGTTAAATGCACCAGGCTTCCGTAGTGCCACTGCATCACAGCAGTCTTTGTAAATGCTGAAAACAAAACACTGGAGGTAAACATGACACAGAGTTAGATTTATATAATTGCATCACACATACTGTAGCATTCAGTATAGCAGCCCTGTTATACAGGTACTGTACTGTGCAAAAGTCTTAGGCAGACAACGAAAATGTTTAAGGCTGTCAGTAAAAGTAATACTTTACTTGAGGAGGCACAAATAACTTGGTCATGAACAAATATACTAACAGCACAAAATACATGAATCATCTTGACTGATTAATGATGAATGAACATGGAATCAGTACATGGCTAACATGTAGTTTCTGGTTAATTAATACATTAAGAGTGTAAAAAAATTCACTGGTGTGTTAGACAGTTGCTGCAAATACTGGGGTGATTTTAGGAGAAGTTTTCAAATGGCTAAGCTGACACATTTTGACAGACGTATCCACAATACACCATGAAGACCATTTATCATAATGTACTATGTATTCTTTTGGGTCTTTTTAGGGTGAAGTTATTCAAGTAATATTGTCTTGAGTGAGCTGTTGGGAACAAGCACAGATGCCACAAACATATTTCATAATCGTTAAAACAAAATTGTCAGTCTAATTAATATTTACTAGTCTTTAATTCAATAAATTTCTTAAGGGCCTTGAACATTTAAATAGCTATTTGTCACTCATAATCACTTGTAATCAGTATTTTTAATCACGATTTACAGTAAATATAATTTACTGTTATATTTTCACAAAAACGCAAAACCTCTAGCACAACAAAATAAAACTTCTCAGAAACTCACTTCCTGAAATTATATTCTATTTCTAGAAGTAGGTTTACTATATTTAATGCTACATTTAATACAGTACTGTATTTTATTTAATACATTATATTTAGAACTACTGTAAATTGTGTCTTTGATCAAATTCGTGGAACTAAGTAGGGTTGCTTAGTTTCTTTTCCTGTTGTGTGTGACTTCTGGAAAACATTTTATTACTCACTAATTACAGAAACACTGTATATAATACTATAAACTATTATAAACTGTTTGCTTATATCCTGAAACTTTACTGGGTTATTGCATTTATCAGAAAACATCAGCCACCCCTCTAATGCTATACCATCATTATTCTGCAAAATCATATGTTCAGAATAATTTGTGGTTTTATGTCAAATCTCAGATAAATCTAGTATCATGACATTTGGAAGCTCCCTCTGTGTTGCACTGGCTGTTTTAATCTGACTAGTTACGCGGCAGGAGCTGGCCAAAGCATGTGACTGCATGTGACTTCCGGTTGAACTCATCACATGAGCTCGGATGATCAACAGAATAAAAATAGACTAAAGCATGCCTTTTATACATCAGTGAGCAGCCACTGATGGTTAGCATGCAGAAATCTGTAAGCACATCATTTACGTGTACGGTCATTTTTGACATCGCAGATGTCCGCGTTTCGTCACTGGCCCTGTAAGAATGTGTGTTTATTCTGTATTTGCAGTGGAAGAGGGACAGGTGGGGGAACTGAGGAAGGTGCTGAAAAACAGACACGTGGAGCTTTTCGCGGAGGTGGAGGAAGGGCAGCTCAGGGCCCTTTGTGACAATGAGTTACCTCACAGGCTACGCAGCAGGTATGACTGCAACACAGTGTGCTAAAATATCTTTAATCTATCCATTAATCCATTATCAGCAACCTTTGATTAAATCAGGCTTGTGGTAATTCTAAACCAACTGACAGAGAAAATGCAAAGGATAGGGCAGGTCATCAACACTGGATGATATATATATATATATATACCTACAGTCACAGGAGTAACTGGAAATTTGGAGCCTCCTGATAATGGTATATTGGGCCCACTCGGTTAAATTTTCCTAGTTGAGCCCTCATAGATCATATGGACAAAAGTATTGGGACACCAGGCCATTACACCCACAGTAACTTTTATGACATCATTTTAAATCCATATGCATCAGTATGGAGTTGGTCCCCCGTTTGCAGCTATAACAGCTGCCACTCTTCTGGGAAGTGGGTGGGAATTTTTGCCCATTCATCTAGAAGAACATTTGTGTTTTTGTCTTTATGGACCCTGCTTTGTGCACTGGGGCACAGTCATGCTGGAACAGAGAAGGGCCTTCCCCAAACTGTTCCCATGAAGTTGGAAACATAGGATTCTCCAAAATATCTTTGTGTGCTGAATCATTAAGAGATCCCTTCACTGGAACTAAAGGGCCTAGCCCTGATAAACAACCCCATACCATTATCCCTCCTCCACCAACTTTACAGTTGGCACAATACAGTCAGGCAGGTAACGTTCTCCTGGCATCTACCAAACCCAGACTCGTCCATCAGACTGCCAGACAGAGGAGTGTGATTCATCACTCCACAGAACACATTTCCACTGCTACAGAGTCCAGTGGTGGCGTGTTTTATGATACTCTTCAGAACGACTCAATCTTTCACACATTTGTAAACCCGACTGCATGGTTAGGTGCTTGGTTTTACACACCTGTGGGAATGGGTCAGAATCAAACACCTGTATTAAATTATTAAAAGGTGTGGCCCAATACTTTTGTTTATATACATGTAGTATATTTTGGGGACACTTTAAAGGGTGGGGCCCCCTGAATCTGCCAGCGTATCCCTTCTGAGGGCCCACGGTTAAGCATTTTTGTATTCTCAGCTTACCCGCCTTCCATTATCATATTTTGCATATTTCATATGTAAATCTAAAATCATCAGTTATAGGTATGTCTGTGCATAGGTAAGCAGGTGAAAGGTCGATTGCATTTTCAATTTTGTTGTTCAAGTCACAATGACAATAAAGATTATCTTTATCTTTTATCTTTAATGCCACTTTAAAATTGGCTTTCAGTTCACATTTATGCTTTGTATAATCATGCTTTTTTCCTTGGGTACATTATAAATATTTCGGTTTAGTCATGTTACTGTGTGAAAGGGCGCGTAGGCGGCTGTGGAGGTGAATGTGACCACTGCTTTCCACTGCCATTGTTTCAGGGAGGGCGTGACGGTCGACGTCACTTCTCTCCTGCCTGACGTGAGGGAGACTGTGCTCCTGGAAGGGAAGACCGGATGTGGAAAGTCGTCTGTGGCTCTCAGCTTGGCCTCCATCTGGGCTCATGACTTCGACTGGGATCCCTTTGGTGTCACACAACTCCTGCTGCTGATCCTCGTGACCTGCAAAGGAATAATGGGCGACCTTTTCCAAGAGGCAGCGTCGCAGCTCAACTTGGGGGGCCAGCTCACAGCTGAGGGTCTCCGGACGCTCATGGCAGGGCCGGTCGAGGGGCTGCTAATCCTGGACGGGTACAGAGAAGGCAGCAAGGAACTAGATGAATCCCTGGCCAGGTTTCTGAGGGACAGGCAGATATGCCGCGTGCTGATCACGGCACAGCCTGGTCAGTGTGGCATTCTGGAAAAGAGCTGCGGAACCATTCTTCAGCTCCCCAGTATGGAACCTGAAACTCAAGGACTCTCCTGAAAGTCATCAAGGGATAAACTGTTGAACTGAAGGGAAGCCTTGGAATTTTGTTTTCCCGTAGTGCCTTTGACATGCATGTCTGAGTGTTGAATGTAATCATTTTTTTCTGTGTATGACACACTTGACACATAAGATTATGGGAGAGGAGGACTTCGAGCATCAATATATTTACATCGTCTTGTTGCTGAAGCTCTTATCGGGGGGCAGCGTGTGGCTCACTGGCCTAAGCCTGTGTGCCTCTAATCGCACAGTCAGTCAGGCGGGTGGGTGGGTAATCACACACCGGTTCAAACCCAGCCTCTGCACGTCTGTAGGTCCTTGAGCAAGGCCCTTAACCCCCAGCTCCCTGGGCGCCCCAACAGGTGGCTGCCCTTCACAGACAGCTTACTCTACAAAGAGCAGGTTGAGGGAGGCGTGAAGACAATTAAGTATCTATGATGATTATCTAAAATAAGTTACATGGACGTCATGAAATTCACTGCTTACAAATAGTGTACAATTAATGTGCAGTGAAAACACTCAGATTAGTCGCACTGCTGCAGGAGGGGTTTTAAATTGGACTGATACATCACACACTGCATTAAGTACTGGTCCTGAGAAAAAGAATGAGGCTGTTAAGGAGAGGAGAGTAATCCTAGCTGCACACACAAAAAGCCAGACAGATACTCCAGTTGTTGGGTATGCAGTGCTAATCAGGAGCTGTTACGTGAGGGTCATTCCAGACAAAGGCAATACTCCAATAGCAGAAGAATTTCTATATGCAGTTTTCAGCCAGGCAGGGAGAAGTGAATCAGTCGAAACACTTCCCTGTAGCTTAGCTAGCAGTGCATTAAGCAACACAAAGGTTGTGGATTCAAATCCCAGGCAGCACAAATGAACTGTAGCTTTTCCATCTACTGCTGTGGATGAAAGTGTCTGATGAAATACTGTAAAGGAATGTAAAGCAGGAGCCAAAAGACTGGGGATCGGTCATCGATAGCTGGGGAAAGGGAAGAGAATGCGATGTACTGTAGCTAATGGCAGAGTTTCCATTCACTGATAATCATTTACCGGTATTTCATAATCATTTTAATGATTGCTGTTATGGATGTTTATGAATCAGCCAATCACGTACATTGATACTGGGGATATGAATCTCATTTTATACTGTCTACTGGGCTATAACAAATGTAGTGAACTGTTTATTGTTTGATGACTCCTGTAGATTCAACATGATATAGATTCAAATGCGTGTGAAGCATACGTGTGGGACTGTTGAATCCTTGAAAACACTGCATTGCATTACTGAATGTACAGCTGTGTGAATTAATATATGAAGGTCATAGTAACCAATAAATAGTATTCATAAATGAATGAATGTTATTATTTTTCTAATCTTGATTTTTATTATCTTCAGCTTGTGCCAATGTACAAAAAACGCATTTGGCTGGTATTACCTTGGTTCACTCTGAGGGAGTATAAGAGGAATGTGTGCGAGCCAGTTAGGGAGGAGAAAAATAGCTGTATCCTATTAAACAAGCAACTATAATGCTGCTGTGTTAAGTTCCTTCATTTGTGTGACAGGGTATTTCCCAGTAACCTACCAGCCTTCTGCCAAGGTTACTGCTGTTTAACTGGTAAGATCTGACTTATTTACAAAGCACAGTTGCAGACGTGCAAGCTTATTCTGGACAGGGTCTCGCACAGAACCTTCTATCTACAAGTAATGATCAGGGAGCAGGGTCAACCGGTCCCTGTAGCAACTGGGGTTAAAGATGATTGAAGATGCACTATAGCCTACAGCTGTATAAAAATTTTACTCCCTTTCAATAATAAAGAAGTAAAAATATAATCAGTAGTGAAGGAATTTTTGCACTCTGTGGATGAACTTAAAATTGATGGATTCTGATGCTGAAGGGTTTTATTAAAATTTTTGAATTAACCTACCTGCCACACAACTTACATGCAGGGTCAAGTCACTTTATTGTTATGTCACACACATTTCTGTGATTCTTTGGAGCATCAGACAGCTAGAACAAGAACTGCATGCAATAAACACTGGATAATTAATTCTGGAGGTAAATAAAAGAATAAAAATACAAATAAACAACAGAACACAACAATTACAGCAACAATGACGCAGTGCAAGTAATAGATGTGAACATGGGTGCAGGACAGTATGAGGAAAATGTGTACAAGCAAAATTACTGTGCCAGCCAGCTGTATGGGGTCCCGAGTCTGCAGAAGGTGGCCCAGCTCTGGAAGACATCCTATGAGGGAGGGTCACATTTTACTTGAGGGGACATGAATAATGTCATAGTACATGCTTAGATAATGCATTAATTAACCAGCAACTAAGTGTGATCCCATGCTTGTGTGTCATTAATCAAATGTTTGATTAATGATGCACAAGCATGGGATCACACTTAGTTGCTGGTTAACAAATAGTTCATGTATTCCATTGACACTAAATTAGTTGACAGTTAACTAATTAGTTATATAATGGTAAGACTTCACTTGGAGCAATTTAATTATTAACTCATTTATTACTCAAGAACAAGTCATGAATTAATATAGGGTTCCCCATGAAATACATGGGATCAGACAACATAAACACATAGTTATGGGTTAATTAATACATTAAGTAAGCCTGTACTACTGTATTATTTATGTCCCCTCAAGTAAAGTGTGTGGGGGGTTCCTGTTCCAAAGAGAGGGCGCTCCAGCTCCCTTAGAAATTTCAGACCAGTTGCTCTCACCTCACATCTCATGAAGACCTTTGAGAGGCTGGTACTGAAACCCCTGGTAACAGACCAGCTGGTTCCACTGCAGTTTGCCTACCAGGCAGACACAGGTGTGGACAATGCTCTGATCCACATGCTTCACAGAGCTCTCTCCTACCTAGACGGCTCCTAAAGCCGGCACCACAGTCAGGATTGTGTTATTTGGCTTCTCCTGGGCCTTTAACACCATCCAGCCTCTCTGATTGGGGAACAAGCTCAGGACAATGCAGTTTGACACCCCCACAGCCTCCTGAGCCATGGTCTACTTCACCAACAGGCTGCAGTTTGTGTTGCTCCAGGACTCTGTGGCAGTAAGCAACATTGGAGCACCTCAAGGAACCGTCTTGTCTCCCTTCCTGCTCACCCTCTACACACCTGGCTTCCAGTACAAGACCAGCTTTTTCCATCTACAGAAGTTTTCAGATGACTGCTCCATTGTAGGATACATCAGCAGTGAAAACGAGTCAGACCCCGAGCAAACTCATCAGGAAGGCCTGCTCTGTCACAGGATTGACCCTGAAGAAACTCATCAGGAAGGCCTGCTCTGTCACAGGATTGACCCTGAACAAACTCATCAAGAAGGCCTGCTCTGTCACAGGATTGACCCTGAACGAACTCATCAGCTGTCAAATGTCTTGACATTGTCATTGAGTGGCCATTTCAGGATTTGGGGCTGCAAATATGTGGCAGCTAACTAGGCCTGGCCTAGGAGTCTCTGTGGGCAGCTCTCCATCTCCATCTTCCTGTTTACAGCTGACCTCTGTGTTCCCTCCTGCATGCCCCCCGATCGCGGCTATTCCACCACATGGACGCTATTTTACGTTCTAAGCACTGCTCTTGCTCTTCTCACAACTGTTTACCCGTTATTCTGTTTAATATGAGTTTAAACAATATTGTCATCATTGAATCTATTTGTACTGTATTCTTAAAATTTCAACTCAAAATGTATGTTTTTAAGATTATTTACAAATAAGCCATGCCAGTTAAAGTCTAAGCGAAGAACATTCATGATTTATGAGTTGCAAAGATATTAGTTTGGGTTTTCATAAGGTTTTACCCTTACATACTTGGCAACCTAAACAGAAAAGCAGGATCATCTAGTTGCGCTTCGAACATAGCCTGGATCCTAAAAAGGAACCTTTGTAATGAGGAAAATGCAACATCCGATACAAACATTTTGCAGATAGCATACCAGTACTATTTCGAAAAACAGGAACCTTGCATTAGTTTTCTCTTGATCACACTTTCTGTTTCACATACAGACGTCCCTTTTGTTTTCAGCTCATGTAACCACGGCAGTGTCTAGTGTCTAGTGCATGTTTAAACAGCACTAGAACAACGAAGAGAACCAAACATTGTGCTAATTTGTCAATAAACAAAATAAGCTGAAACGGAAGGCAAATATGGTTTCAGAGAATGGATCTGTGGATGAGTGTGGGATGGACAGTGGAAAGGTATAAAACTCAGAACCCAATCTAACAGGAAGTTCATGCAGCATTGAATTAATATTTCCCTCCATCCATTCAGTATAATTAAATCACGGATCATATCAATGCATGATAATATGACAATCACATACATTGTGTAGTACAAATTAAATATGCATGTAAAAGCCATCCATCTTCTATACTGACTTGTCTTGTACAGGGTCCCAGTGATTGAAGACTTTCCTGGAAGCTAAGGGCACAAAGCAGGGAAGCAGGGAATAACCCTTGAGGGGTGCCAACCCATCACTGGGTATGCACGCATGCTTTGGCAACTCCAATTCACTTCAGCATGCTTTTAGATTGCAGGGGGGAGGGGGACCAAAAAACCTGAAGGAAACCCCACAGGGAGAACATACAAACTCCACACACACAGAACCATGGTGGAGACTCAACCCACCGTCCCAGAGGTGTGAGGCAGCAGTGCTAAGCACTGCACCACATGCCATCCAGTGCATGTACAATTAAACTTTAATATGCAGTTAACATGCATAACATGCCATATCAATATTTTTTTGTTTCATAGTTTCATAGACATAGAAGAAATTTAAAAGTAGAAGATTCATATTACACTATTTCTTTTATAATTAAGACCCATAAAACATCATTAACATTATTATTTAATCTTTATGAATCCATCCATTTTCCAGAACAGCTACCATACAGGGTCACAGCATGCTCAGTATCTTTATTTTATGCTATAGGTATTTGTGTAGTCGCATAGTGAAAATGCATCATAACTGTTTTAACAGCTACATCACTGAAACAGCTCCTTCCAGTAATTTCCGCTGTTTGCATGACTCAGTGTAAATTGAAAGGGGACTTCCAGTGGTTGGTCTTACAGTTAAAGTGTCACGTGAATTATATGTTTGTATTCAAAATAGTGGTTTAATGTTGGGGTAAAACAATTCCCTTGGAGAAATAAAAAGTTTTTTAATGACATTTTTAATTTCATGAGTAATTTTTATTTGACAATAAAGGCAGAGCTGTGCTAATTGTACTTCAGTTTTCCATTTAAAAAATCTTACAAATGATTTTACAAATATTGAAAATGCTAGGTATTTCCAAGTTTCACCACATAAATAAAATTAATAAGAGCAAAAAATAAATATAATATAAAGTCACTTTATCTATCTATCTTCCGACTTCTTACCCTGGACAGGATTGCAGGTTATTTTGCTAAAAAAAAATTCAACAACATCCAGATCTTGCCTTCTAGGCCTTGTGGGACAACTATATATCATTCATTCTCCTTCACATTTAATTGCAATAGGCCATGTAATGCAATACACTTGGTTTAGCAGGAATATTGTGTAATCCAAAAATATAAATCTCCTGCATTTCCCAATAGCAGATTCAAAGCAGCATGGTCCTCTGGGAGGATGTATAATTATCTCCTAACATCCCAAGCTGGTGGTTTGAATCTTGCTCTGTGAATGTGAAACATACATGTTCCCCTTTTGTATTGTGGGTTTTCTCTGGATGCTCCAGTTTCCCCCCATAGTCCAAACACATGCAGTTAAGCTAACTGACATCTCTAAATTTCCTTTAGTGTGTGTGTGTGTGTGTGTGTGTAGCACCCAGTGATGTGTTGACATCCCATCCAAGCTGTAACTCTCCTTTCTCCACATGTTAAATTAACTAGTTGGAAGATAGTTGGACCCTTGGAGCAACATATTTTTTCCCATCTAACTTTCTGCAGCTTATCAGTATAGGGTCACAGAAGGGAGACCTGGGGCCTGTTCTAGTCAGCATAGGGCACAAGGCAGCAGTGCACCTTGCATTGGGTGTTAATGCATCAGAGAGTACGTGCTCACACACAAGTATGCATTATGGGTAATTGAGAGACATCAGTTTACATAACTGCATTTTTTGGGGGATGGGGGGGGGGGTGCCATGTAACACAAATGGAGATAAATTGACATCGGTCTGTCTGTTATTACGCTGGGATGCCAGAAGCTGGTTCACCGACGCTGCTAAAGCAAACTCTTCACACCGTCATACAGAAAGTCTGCTCCAGCCCAGCAGCCCTGCAGGCAGCAAAGAAGCGGTAGTGAAGGAGAAGCAGTGGTGCTTCTCAGCCAGCTTATTACTGAATATGCTTCAT